AGCTGCTAGTACATTATAAGGTAGAACTAATAATCTCAGTGATCAGCAAAGATAGCATTCTGCCCGTATTGGACCCGAGTGGTGTGTTTCGCGTGACCGAATTCTTCCCATTCCATCAATAGGAAAGCAATATTCTAAAGTCCACGATGGTAGTGTTTCATAATGAATACTTGTAAAAATAATAAAAAACGAAAAAAACGGAACCCGCCAACTGCTTGCTGCTTTCCGCGTCTCCTGTCATTGGAATAAGTATTTTCAGACAATGTCCTCAATGTCCTCTGCAATGGGCTACCAACAAGTTATACCGTTTGTATACAAATTGCTGGAAAATTTTTGAACTTGGCTAGTATCAAATAGAGTGTCTATAGATGTCTACCTATGTATGTACCTATTTTTTTGTCTGGGAAATGCCTTACTCATCCTTCAACCACCAGGAGAGCGTGAAGAAGGTATGTGGGACTCCTCCCTGTTCATTTCAGCCAGCCCTGTGGCCGGATGAAATAAACAGGGTCCTACCTAACGCCCTGAACAAGGCCCTACCTAATACCCTGAACAGGTCCACTAAAAACCAAACAATACTCCTGCACCGTCACCCGACACGCACTATGAGGACCGCGGTCCCCCTAATGCGTGCCGAGAGGACACTCGGTTGATCGTGATGCATCTTTAAGACGTCAACCCCACAAAGCATCAATAGTTTAGTTGTTCTTTTTCCCTTTAGTATCTACTACTCTTATGTCTTGTTATTATAACAAGCCAGTATATTTTATGCATAACTACAGTGCACTTTTTTTTTATATTAAGGTAGGCAAATGACTCTACCCCACCTGATGTTAAGTGGTAATAAAGTCCAAACGCGAAGATAGCTGGTACAGCAGTTATAAACTGCTACACCAATCATCCTCACCTTGCCGGCCTGCATAAATGTTTCTTTTATTCTTCAAAAATGTTTAGTATAACTTAAGTTTAGTAATTGGTAAATCGTTATTAGTTTCATATAAAAGCTGTGCCTTAAATTGTAAATGCTAGCGATTATGTAATACGTTCGTACTTAAGTAGTTCCTGTATAATAAAATATATTGATCAAATTGTCGTACTTGCGTAATACTAAGAGTAATGATTTTCACGGCGTAGGCAACTTCTAAAATATACAGTTCACTAAAAAAATAAGACGTTAAATAATAACTTGTAATCAAATGTGCAACTGTATTTTAATAAACATTTAAGTTTATAATAATATATCATATTATGTTACTACTTATCTTTCAGCTACTTATCATCAATAATTTGCTTTTATATAAAAATAATAATTATTTTTAATCACTTGTTCACGTTCACGGAGACTTGTTTTGACACACAGATAATCTCAAATTCGATAATACTTATTAAGTAGGTAGTAAAATATGTAAAGATATATTATAATCGATATTTTTACAAAAATTAATAAAAATATTAATGTTGTAATAATTTATTGAGTTAAAACTCGATAGATAATCGCATAAAATTGCAATTCTTTTACTTCTTTGAGTTTACTTTTCCGTATCCTGTGTTGGTGAGTCAGCTTCGTATGTCTCAAGTCACAAGCCCCTCTTTACACATTCCTTGGTTTTTATAGGACATCTTGCTTGTCTCGTAAATACGTCATTATAGGTGAGAGTGGTTCTACGGAGTCCCGGTATGGATATCATTACCTCACTGAATGCCGACTTGTTTCTTAAGTAAAACCAACATCAGCTGGTTTACCAATACTAGCAAATTTCTACAAACGATACTCAGCTTATAATGTATTCAATTAAAGTTACAAATCTACTAAAAATAATTAGCTTTGTGATAAGGTTTAGTGTAATTCCTTTTTTATCCAGCAAAAAATTCAGTATTTTTTGAAAGTATTACGTAATAAATTGCTCACAGACAATAAATAGCTTTTAAATTTAATGTTGTGGATTTATTGTAAGTATGGCCTTTAAAAACAACATTTGTATTTGCTAACTCCTCCGAAACGGCTCAATCGATTTTCGTGAAATTTCATATGCATGTTCAATTGTACATTCGAGTTGGAGAACTTGAGAATCGGACAACATCTATTTTTCATCCCCCTAAATGTTAAGGGTGGTCCATTTGTTTTATTTTTATTTTTTTATGATACATTATACAAAAACACATATAACCCTAAATTTTCACCGTTCTGCCACCCATATTTTTATGGCGATACGAAATTCGTTGGCCTAGCTTACTAGCTAGGCCAACGAATAATAATACTACTGTATTATTACTACTGTATACTACTGTATTATTCTAGATTAATAAGTACACTTGAATCTCTCTTCCATTTATTATCTCCTCCAATACACCTAGTATTAAATATCCTTTGCTTGTATCATGCATGGGCCCATGAGCACTACCCTTTCTTATTGAATAAAATAAACTATACTTAGAATAATAATGCGATACTCAGCATTATACGCAGCCAGTATGTGCTAATCGGTTTAATTAATTAGCAATTGTGAAGACAAACGTAATAGATCTTAATCGCCATTACTCTGGACACTTGACTGTTTTAAAATCAGAAAATGTAACGGCAGTATTCCTTTACTTTATAGGGTTATTCTAACGTTTAACTTCTGTTATCTATTTGTCTAGAAAAGATATATGAAAAATCATAATTAAAGTTTGTCAATCTATTTTGTCAATCTGGGACCGTAGAAATCAAAATTATATCTTTAACAAGCACCTTCATAAATGCCACCCGCGAACGTCAACCAATATTTCACCAAACTCGATCAAAGTTGCCACGAAGCGACAGCCAACTTAATCAAATCAGACCAGGCGATTGGCTTGATGTTTGACGGTCGTAATCCCTTGCGGTTAGTTATCGATGATCGTCTATGTTATATTTCTGTAGCTTCCTATTTTGTAACGCTAGGCTATATAGCGAATATTTACGTAGATTTTATTTAAGTCAAAATACAAGAAGAACATTATTAAATATCCCAAAATCTACGTCATTTCCTTTGCATTAACAGGTGTGAATACCAAACAGGACTTGAGAACGAATAAAACTTCACAAACCGAATAAAAGTAATTTGAAATATTTTCCTTTGTTGAAATTTATATGAAAAAATGCAGCGGAGCACAATACCAACATTACATAATTCCAATGTGTCAGTTACCCTACATTGACTAGTGTAGCCTTCCAGTGACGCAAAAAAATCATGAATCTATTACACCAAGCAACCGCGCGCAAGGTTACCTCGAGCTATTGTTACGCGAATGTCATAGCCGTCTCAATTCTTACAGAATCGAAACATTGTTACGATGATCGATCTTTCGACTCCGGTTACATAGCTGGGTGTCATTACCGTTAATCTTATGACAAGATTAGAACTAATTAAGTTACTAATGTGCAAACTTAGAACAGCATTAAAGATATTGTAATACTTGCTATGTTCTTCAAGGCAACCAGCTGGTTTTAGTTTAAGACTAAGTGTTTATTATATATATCTTGATTCCTATTTGTATTCAACAGGATGGTTAACTAAGGAAGTAATGATCTAATTTTTATATGACTGTCAAAATTTTATCTTACGTTTTCAGAGTTCAAGTAGGTATGTATGTGCGTTTCTGTACTTCGCCGAAATAAAGAAGTGCAATCAATGTAGATATCCAATCAAAACCTAGATTGGCATATTCTAAAACTATATATATATTTTTTTTTTATTCATTGTATTTAACTTTTTTTTTATTTCATTTTGTTTTTACAATATAAAAAATATATTATTTAACGAGTTGTGTTATGTTTCCGTAACCTTAAAATAAAATACGCTAGAATATTTCGCAAACAACAACGTAAAACTTTATGAATCATCATTCCAAAAAAAGTGCTACAACTTAGTCATAATCATGATCAGTATTCTTATTCTTACCATAATAATAATCTGTCACACACAAAATAGGTTAGTTGCTCCAGCATAATAATTAGTGGTGTCGTAACATCGCCCATAATAAATACGACTGGACAAGTGCAAGTGGTATGTAGAAATTGTATTTGCAAATGGTCTATCGTAAAAGGGGACTGACGGGTTGAGAAACTGGTCGAGCCTTAATGATCTTGAGGTGTCCAAGTTAAGCTACTAAAGGCGATGTAACTGCAAGAGATAGCGCTCACTCGAAATCTTCATTGCAGCTTCACAGTTTCGTAAACTCGAAACTTAGCTTTAGCATTCTGATAACTTAAGCTGAGAGTTTATTCTTATTGTTTAATGAATAAGCACAAAAAATAGTTCTTTCGCAAAAAAGCCCTAATATTTAGTAGGATACGCCAAAATACAAGTTTTATGTAGAATTTGTAATCCAATTTTAAGATTTTATTTTATTATGTGTATCAAATGACTTAAAGCAATATATCGTTGTTGGCTTTCCAGGAAGTTGCTTAATTAATTCTTAAACGTAAACATGATTGAAAATCAAAAGCTCACTTCCTGATCTACTTCCCGCAGATAATTACTAAAAATTACACATAGCCACATAATTATCTTATAAACAACTCGATGCTTGCGACTTCGTCTGCTTGGAAAATTTGATTAATCTTAATCATAGTCTTTAATGCTTCTTCACAACATGAGCCCTGCACCCTTGCAGGGCCCTGACACACAACTTTGAACCCCTGTTTAACAGGTGGTAGGTGCAGTGATTTGAGCTGTGCGTTGATTGATCAGTAACAGTTGTCGTTTGTATAGGTACTTAGATTGGTGAAAGAAAAACGAAATGAAATATCTATCTACACAAAACTTCATCACATGAAAGAGTTGCGCTACATAATGCCGGTCTTATGATTATATTGTAACCAATGTACTACGTAAAGAAAGGAATTGTTTTATTAGAGATTTTAATAAAATCCCGTGGACCATCGAAAAGCATATTTGTTGCATAGAATACGCTGTCTAAAATAAAAGTTAGACCCAAAAATTTCAACTAACAATTTTGCTCTAATTTTGTTACAGAGTGAACATGATGGAGTAAAGAGTGAGGATGCGGTGGTTTAAGAAGGGCGAGCCGCCGCGGCTGCTCACCGTCTCACCTGAAGCAGAGTCAAGATCAACGCGAAGATCAAGAGTTGGTAAGCATTATTTCAATATGTAAATATATCGACTATTATACGGAATATCTCACACTAAACAAGCACAACATTATAAAACTTTCCAGTTTCTACCAACTCCAACAACAGAAGAGACTAACCTGAATGTGTAAAATAAAGGAGGATTTATCCCCGGTCAAAATTTGTTCAACTCATTTCTTTATTATGCGGAGAAAATGAAGATTTATGTTTATTTCTTCTTGGTTGCATAATGATTTTTTCTATACATATAATAATAAGATAAGTTTTATCCTAAAATTGAAAATCGGCCCTGACTTACGTAGAGTATAACTACCTACTCAAATATGACAGGTATTAATTATTACTATAATAATTCATATAGTAAACATTAAATAGATTTTAAACAGAATTCCATTTATTTTATTCGATGTCTAGCTAGGTTTAAAGTTTTCTCTCCATTTCCATTCATGTGTTCTAATTCAGTGTTTTTTACTTACCTTCGTTATTCAATTTGCTTTTTAATGTTTATTGTTGTTGTAAATCGCGTCATTACCACCAGATGAGGCATAATCGCCCACTTGTGTCTGCTTCTTTACACTTAACTGCATCTGTGTTGGCGTGTCCAAGTACTGAGCAATAAATTCACTTACACCTACGGCTCCACATTCTCCGCAAGTATTTCCTAAGGGATTCAGGTGACGTAATTGTTTTTTTATTGTAACAATCACTCTATCATTTACTTTAGCCACATCAAACGGTTTGACCTTTTTTATTTCCTCAATCAATACTTATTCGTATCTTATTTGCCTGTCCTGAGTTCTTGAACTAAGTAGTCTCGGGTATTATAACAAATTGTACCTGTTGAATTTTATTGCTAGAGGGCTGCAATTTTTGCAAGTTATATATCCCTTTTTAGAATTTGTAAACATCAATCAAGTCAAAATCAAACTAGATATCAATTCATCATTATAAATCTGAGTTTCTAAATGCAAAACTGTAATTTTTTCTGCTTAGTACAAATCAATTAGGCACTCCAACTAGTTTTACTAAGCTCACAAAAAATATTGGTGAAAACATGAACTAAACGTATAAATATAAATCCATGGGTGAAATCTTGAATGCTATGTAAGGGTTTTTAAAAGCATTAAATTTACTTCTTAATATATGTTACGATATACAATTCTCTCCTGTTATCATGTTCACTAAATAGGTTGATTTGTGTTTTGACTGGTAGGTCTCCATGATAATTTTAGTATATAAGTGATAATTTTCCATTGGAATAAACAAACCTATAAATATGAATTACTGCGGCATTCATAAAGTGACTGATGATGTATCCATCACCGTCCTGATAGGCAAACGCCTGGCAAAGTTAATAGGCAATACTGTCATAACAAAGCGAGTGCAGCGAATGTTAGTAATTGATTAGGCTATAAATTACGTGCGCGATGCAAACGCGGCTGCAAGAACTTTGATCTTTCATAGTAGGTATTGTTGTTACGATTTTAAAATTAAATGATTCGGTAAAGAACGATCTATATGGGGTAAGATTCGGCAATACAATTAAATCTGTTTAAGCTGTGTTTTACTTAATTTGTCAAAATCAATTAGACATCATTCAGTGGGAGATCTTCATCGGCAAGAAACACAGCAAGGATAGAGGATTCTCCGTTTTGTTATCGAGGCGAAAAATTTTTTTTGTAGGATTTCCTTAAAATATTACTTCACAATCAGAAAATTTTTGCTCAGATGAATTACTCGTAATCTACTATGCCAATTTTGATACTAAATATGCAGTTGCTGCAAGAAGTCTGGAATTTATTGTTATTACTAAGTAATTACTCGCACGATCATTGGCGTCAATAGTCGTCATCCATTCGATTATCATTTTTGCATGCACGTTCATTGCGCCTTTGGTCATTCGCAACTATCGGTTATGTAACAATCAAGCAACAGTAACTTTATTATTTTGTAATATTACAAATAATGACGTAACTATTTAGAAAAAAATCACATGATATTAGCTAGAATTGTTAAACCTATAATCATGTTGTCTCAAAGTAAAAAATCATCAAATTAATTTATAACATGATACTAATTGTAATAATGTGGAAACCAGTCGCTAAAAAAGCTGATTTTCTAGAAAAATATGTTGCTCAGATTATCGTCAGTTAGCTGCGCTGCGGCGGCCTGAGTTCAATCCACTGCCACACAAAGCCCTGGAACCTTACACCAACAGAATATACAACATCACTTAACTTATTATCTACATCACATAATTTTGACTATTTTTACTGCATAGTTAAAGTTAAAAAAATGATAAAAAGAAGTATTTTTCTTATTTCAGATGAGTCACCGGTCCGGTACCCTCAAAGAAAAAGTAGCAGCAGCTCGGTAGAAACAAATTTTTATAACCTGAATGACCAAATCATAATAGTCGAGAAATCACCACATCGATTTCATCGAGGTAGCGAGGCTCCAGTGACTCGGCGCATATCGCTTCAAAACGGTCCCACCACACCTCATGATGGCTGTAATGTGTCACGGAAAAACCGCGGTGGCTCATTGGAGAAAGAATATACGATATACCGGGAAAAGCGAAACCCGTTACTTGACAAGGTAAAGAACACTAAATTGTCATGTTTCAAATCTAACGGACCCCTAAGACACGCAGACGATACAGCCTCTACATCAGGAAGTGATTGCAGCGGTTTCGGTCATGTTGAAGACTCTAACCACGGTCGTCACACAAACTATGCTGAGAGCCACTTGGAGATTGAAAATCAAAATCCTTGGGTGAAAATGCCAAATTACGATGATGATGTATTTTTTGCCAAAAGTATAACTAGTCCTGTCGATAACCAATGGAGAGAAGGAAAATTATTTACCAATAGAGGCACACGGTGCTATAGTTCTGGTTCAGAGTGCGATCGTTACCACCCAATACCGAAGGCAGGTGCAAAATTATCTAAGTCAAGTGATCAAATCTTTAATGATGATTATGAACCGTACGATGACGTGCCCTTAGCTTTGAAGTCTCAAAATAAGACTGATAAATATAAGAATTATAAAAATGAAAAAGATACCATTGGCCCGAGTTCTTGTCTTTCGGCTAAACTTAGAGCAATGTCAGATCGTTATTTGAAATCATCTACAAATAAATTTCTATCAAAATTATATAAGCCGAATGGTGAGAACGAAGAGGAAGTAAGTGGTAGTAACGATAACATTTTGAAATCAAGTAGTACTAAGAGTCGAAAAAGAAGAGGTGGGGTTAAAGCAAAATTACGAAGCTTTTCTTATGGCGCATTACCAGGCTTAGATGAGTTTCAAAAAGGTCACAATTCAGTTTTCCATGATGATGTTTATCAAGTGTCATGTGATGATGAAAATGTTTTAATACAAGACTGCGAAGATGCTGATTCTGGTATACTAGTCAACGAATCGGCAGCTTCATCTATTTTTGACAGTGATAGAATATCTTCACGCTGTGAAAGTTCGGCATCGTATAATCCTATCTTTCCGTGTCATGCTAGAAGCGTATCCAGTGATCAAAGTTATTCTCATAAACCAAGATCATCTGGTAGAATGAGTAGAGAAAGAAGTAACCATCCAAAACCTAGACCACGTCAAACCCAAAGAGCATTATCGTTAGATCGGAAAGAAATCCTTAGGCGTATGCCAAAGAACAATGATGATTATGCAGAACCGCAATATTTACAACTTACGGAAAAGCAAAAGATGCGACAGCGGGATATAAGTTTAGGAGACTCGGGTATTCCCCCTATTCCTCCGTGTAGGAAACCATCAAGAGGAAAGAAAGTTGAGAAATCCGAATTCAAGGTTGTTCGAATAATAAGGAAGAATCCATCCGATGAATTAGGTATATTTATTGCGAAAACAAAATTATCCGATGAAGGTCACATAGGCTATTTAGTGGCTCACGTTGTGCCTGGCGGCTTAGCGGAAAAGTAAGTACTATATAAGTATTAATTATTATAATTATAATCATATCATCAATGTTGCGTAGTCAACATGTGTACCTGTAACATATCGCTATTCGGGATTCTGCTCCACAGTTGACTGACAACTTAAATAAAACCTTTATCATATACACCGTGAGTTTTCAGGTACCTAAAACTAAAACAATATGTAATTAAAAAGAGGAACAGTTATAAACAGTAAACATGCTACATCCCCATGCAAAAATATTGATTTATATGGTTTACAAAATATCCTATAACAGCATTTATTTGTAAATAACGTACATATTTTCGATTTATTACCCGTTTAAAATACGTAGATCCCAAAAGTAGTAATAAATTTATGACAATTAAAAATGTCATAAATTCACGGTGTATTTACCTATATGATTATGGATAGAACTATCATCAAAGATGCGGCAAACTGACTGTAAAAAAAATATGGTATACTTAAAATAAGCCCATTCTGCACTGGTTGTATCTAAAATGTTATTTGCAAAGTCAAGTATTTAGAAGCATCGACTTACTGAATCGGAAATATTGAACTACTAGGTACTACATGTATTAAATATATATTAATTGTTAAACAATTTTCAGGGAAGGTACGTTGCGCATTGGTGATGAGCTTTTGAATGTAAATGGCCGCAGGCTTCGTGACCTCACAATGGCAGAAGCAAAGGACGCACTGAAATCTGGTTCATCAGAAATCGACATCGTGATCTGTAGGCAACGGGAAAAAAACACGGATAGTAGGCAAAGAGAACCGTCACAGCGCAGTATTAACCTCATGCGCGAAAGTTCTGTTGATTACGAAAACGCAATAATATTAGGAAAGGAAAAACGCGTTGATAAATATGACGTCAGGATAGACCGGCGGTCGCAGGATGAGTCGGCGTGTAATCGCAGCCCGCTATCAGCTGCGGACGAGCCGGCCGACAGCACGTCGCATGCGCACTCGCACTTCCTCAAGGGCCAGAACGCGAGCTATAGCAGCATGAACAACAAGTTGTTGCGCCGACAAGTCGTGAGTTACGGCGGTGCAAACAAGGACGGCTTGGTTCTTAGTTGCGCGGGAAACGTGGTAGACGTGGACGTCCCGGACGGTGCGGAACGGTACAAGGACGGACAGGACACTGAAAATGATATACAAACACCAAACGCAGCAAACTTTTGCACACTCCCGAGAAAACCACGAGCGCCGACCCACAGCTACCACACGATTACGTTCGAGAAAGGACATGGGAAGAAACCGCTCGGATTCACTATCGTCGGTGGACGTGACTCTCCCCGGGGACCACTTGGCATTTTCATTAAAAGCATCCTTCCACAAGGGCAAGCTATTGATGATGGCAGACTTAAAGCAGGTATGTTTCATAGTTAACAATATTGTGTAAGTACACCGTTGCATGACAATGGAATGCATTTGATAAGAAATAAGCATGGATCGAGGAACTCGTTTGTTTGTTATCTAACTAAGTACCTACGAGTAACTATTTGTGCAACTGTATCAAAACATTTCAATAATGCAGCGCTATCGTTTTACTAATATTTGGTATAAACATCTAATATCGATAGAAATATTAACTCGACCTAGATGTCACGCTTTTACAATTCAACAATTTAGTTGTTACAGTTCGCTTTGGTCATATGAATTAATTGGCCAATTGCGCCACCTTTATTAGTCCTGTTGAACAGGTAAATTGAAATAGTGTATGAATACCTACGTCACGATAATATTGCATCTTCTTACTGTCTCAACTTCAGTATTTATCGTTTATTAGCTATTATGTTTGTTTTGCTTCCTGTTGATAAATAAGTTCATGGAAAGACCCGATTGCGTGTCTGTTACCTAACTAATGGTGTAACTAAATATCACAATCGGGCTTACATTCTGTTGAGAGATGGTGTAAATTTACTTGTACTTCAATTGTAATGGGGTTGTTATTGGCATGTATGTAATAAGGTATTGTTTGCGATTCCAGGAGACGAAGTTCTAGCGGTAAACGGACAGGCATGTCACGAGCTGGCGCATGTGCAAGCTTTAGCGTTATTCAAATCTGTAAGAAGCGGCCCTATAGAACTAAGAGTTTGTCGGAGAGTGAAGAATACTCAGTAAGTTGCAATATTTTGTTTTTATTTTCCTTAATTATAACGAACGATGAAGCAACTTCGTTTTTTATTTTCTTTGTGATAACAATAGACTGAGAGAATACCTGACTTAAAGAAATACCAAATTTAACGGTATTTGCAGTGGCATATTAGAATCAATCATCAAATCGATAAAGTAACAAACTAAATAAGTATAATATTTTACCTTTATGTACATGTGTATAAGGGGTAGGGTTCTAAGGTACTATTCATAGAGAAAATGTATTGAGTACATTGAGTATTAATGAGTCAGTTTCTGAAAATCTTGAACTACCCTACAAATAAAAATAATCGGACAGAACATGGATAGCAATAACTATTAGTGAACCCAGTCAAGTCAATTCGATATTAACCTCATTACCCCAAAAATTTTAGCCATGCGTTCAGTACGAGTTTAAGAAAAAATGTGATACAAAAAAAAATATATTTCTTTTAAATATATTTATCAATATACCTATGTGAGGAAATTTCGAAGTTATAAAGAGCTATAAATTTGGAATTAATTTAACAGGATTTAAAAAATTCTTGTTTACAAACAAACCGCACTAACTTTACAAAACTATATATGCTAGTTGTTGAATGAATGGTAATTTACTTGAAAATACTCAATCCTTATGTTTTGACGAATGGTGATTCCAGTTAAAAAGACACTCACACTCAGTCTATCGCGGTTTTAGCATTTATCCTGGAAACTTTTCTATTTTTTTGTTTTTGGGAAATTATTATGACTGGGTAAATAAGTTATTTCATTACCTTGAACTCCTTTTTTGTGAAACTTAAGAGGTTTTGTTTTGTTTTTCGTAACTTAGAAGGCACAAATTAATTACGTTTATCATTATAACCAACAAGAACCAGACATGTTACTTTGTTTCGTAATACACTTCTGGACACATCTATTGGCCCACCTTAGAGTTTAGGTTTCGATGGCCCCTACCGAAATATGATTGCTAGATTGAACAAAAACTGTTGATGCAGTTTTAAACCTGATACATTTTACCATCTTTTTCGATCGTATTGTTTTAAATTTGAATTCAGAATACCATACGACATGGAGCTACACACACAATTTTTGAATAAAAAACATGTTTTATCAAATAAAGGTTTAATTTAATAACGCGTGTTGCCTCCATGGGCATCTACCACAGCTCTCATACGATTAGGCATAGAGTTTATAAACCGCTCTATGAAATTTTGAGGGATCATCTCCCATTTCTCTTCTATGGCAGTTTTCAACTCCTGCATCGTCTGGGCAACTGGCTGACGAGCCCTAACACGTCTTTTTAGCTCGTCCCACATGTGCTCAATGGGGTTCATGTCTGGGCTTTTGGCTGGCCAGTCCATAACTGTGATGTTCACATCCCGAAGATATTCCCTGACGATGCCGGCCGCATGGGCTCTTGCATTATCATGCATAAAAAGGAAATTTGGGCCCACATAGTCCGCGTATGGTATCACGTGAGGTTCTAAGCACTCACGAATGTACCTTTCAGCATTTAATGTTAGCAGCCGTGGTCCTGTAACAACCTCAAGTTGAGTTTTGCCGCTCGCGGATATACCGCCCCAGACAGTACATGAGCCACCGCCATAAGCAACCCTCTCTTCAAAGCAGCATTGTGCGAAACGCTCTACTTTACGTCGGTAGACCTTCTTCCTTCCATCATTGCCATGTAACACAATTTTAGACACATCAGAAAAGTAGGCTCCAATCTTGCTGTGTCCAATTTAAATGACTGCGTGCGAAATGAAGGCGCGCTGTTCGGTGGGCTCACGTTAGTTTGGGCCCATTAGCTGGCTTGTGTGGTACCATATTGCGTTCTTTTAACCTTCTCTGAACAGTTCGAGCGCTCACAGATACTCCGTGGAAGTCGCGAATTTGTTTTTGTATCTCAATGGAGGTAAGGTGACGATTTCTCAAGCTGGTCGTCACGATGAATCGATCCTGCCTTTCAGTTGTGACCTGAGATCGTGGCCTTCCTTGGCGACGAACAAAGCCGCCAGTATCTAGGTACCTCCGATAAACATTTCCGACCGCAGATCGACTTAAATTAAGTTGAGCGCTCACGTTCCTTTGGCTGTGTCCGGCCTGAATAAGTGCCACAACTTGGGCGGCGACTTCAGGTCACCTTAATGTTAAGAATAAGTAATGTTTGTTGCAAAACCAAAGATATCAATCACTTTTTCAAGAATTAAATCCAAGTAAACCAATAAAACCAAGTTTTCTTAGTATTCGATTGTTTGATATCAACAAACAGGCTCCAAATTGTCTTTTGTTTCTTTAAATTCTGTGTTCGAAATTCAAAAAAAGACTGTTGAATGAAATTGTGAATGTGCCAAGTTCAAAACTGCATAAAAACTTTTTGGTCGACCTAATATAAAATTTTAGCTAGGACCAAACGAAACTGAAAATACAAGGTGGGCCAATAGATGTGCCCAGAAGTGTATATCGTCTTTCATATAACTTTTATGTATTTTGATGTTTTCACATTATCTATTTATTATTTTATTATATTACGAATTTTAGAAAAAATGACAGACAAAATTTGCCTAAACTAGGTTTAAAACTGTGTCTAACTTTTTTGTAGTAAAACCGTTAATTACAAACTTTTATGAAACAAGTTGTGGCAATGACATCTCTAATTTATAATACAGTTAAGAGCTGTGGTAGGTGATAGATTCTCAATCAGTAGACCTACAAATTTATCAAACCTCTTTTTTATCTATCGATAGACTTATGATCAGCTGCAACAATAAGTTTGCTAAACTTTTTTCTTATTGTTACGTATTAGGTAGTAAAATTACCATCACGGACCATTGTCCATACAGTATAATAACTCGATAGTTAAGCTCAGCTAAATAAACTCAGAACACAGAAAGAGGTTAGAAGGGTCTTGTGGGTCTCTCACATTTATGTGAGAGCAAATACTCATAACTTGACCAAAATAGTTCAAATTGCGTCGTTGCTCTCGACTATGTGCGCAGATTGGTTCGATTTTTTGATGTCGAGTCGTTTGATTGGTTATTATTATCTATTGGATGAAAGTGTAGTGGGAGCGAGCCGGCGACATCGGTTCCCGTACAAACGATCTAGGATCACCCTTCTAACCTCTTTCCGTGTTTCGTGCGAGTAAATATCAATTGATTTGATTTTATATCGCTGTAGAGCAAAACTATCGAGTATAGAATACCGTGTGCGAGTACGGATCACGACAGTCAAAAATGAAGTCAGAAACCAGTACCTATTTGTTTTTGTCTTTATCGATTCTTCTGCTGAAAGAGTGACAGCGATATTTGTTCAACAGAATAAATTACTAAAATTTAAATTATAAAAAATGAAGAATTCACGATTTTTTTTTTATTACAGATCAACCAAAGCCAAATCCTGCACTGATCTACTCAACGACGAAGAATAAACACTATATTATCATGTGAAGTCGTAGTATATTATGATGTTTACTGATATTGCATGTTGACTATTCTTAATTTGATGGAAGATGATTCAAAAATCTCAAAGTAAAAACCTATAAATTAGGTTTTTCTTGGAGGTTTTAAAGCATTATTTCATTCTTCAAATTTATAAAAATATGTAATTTGCAAACACGAGCTGGCGATCGATTTATTGGTTTAAAAATAATGTACCTAAATTTAATTAATGTTTGTAATTTAATTAAAAACATACAATCTCCATATCGTTTGTGTCGGTCAAATATGTTATGTACTTAATTAAAATAAATTATAAATTTTAATTAAATGAACGGAAAGTTTGTGTAATAAAATACAACAAAAGCATTGCCGACCATAAATTAATGTAAGATAAAAGCCTTTATAAAGGAATCATCTATTTGTGCTCTTCACCGTAAAGTGGTTTTTTATACCAGACTTAAATATAATTTCTATGTGCCATTTTAATTCTATAAAAATATTTATTTCTTCATATTAAAATCTCCATCTGGAAAGTCGATCATATGCTCTGTACCTGACTGTGAATCCATTTCATTTAGCTATTTCTTTTTGTATTGAAGCTCAAAACTTAGTGCACGACTTAAATGATAAATTCCAAAGATAAGAATTAGATAATAAGGTATTTTATCAGCACGAAAACTGATATAAATGTTAGTTATTAGTAATCACTAAGTACGTAGAAAGTGTATAGATAGTTTCGAATGCTCTTATCGTTATTATTAAAAGTCTGCAATTATGTTACATATAATATTTCATGATCAAATAATTTTATTTATAAATATTCCTTAACTAGATATGATGGTCGTCAATAATAATAAAATATAAAAATAATATCTTGTAAGAAAATTTTAAAAGCACATTTTGTAGTTAATACCATCGCAATGAAGATATGTATTTTTATTAAAATTTGAAAATATTATGTATTTGTGCAATAAAATTACATTTTTCCCTATATAAACTTAAGCAAAGATCTGTTTACTGTGATACTATTTGATGTATTCATTGAAATATAATATTTACGTTAAGTATTTTGACTTTATATAGTTAGGGATGGTACATACCTATTCTTTAATACCCACATTATAGAAAGCGACAATATTTATTTCTTCAAGTTTACAGAGATCAATAACATGGTGTTGCTGTTTTTTTCAAAATTTTCATCTGACACGACAAGAATCTCTTTAGGCGTCATCAAATTTGCAGCGCGGAGGCAGCACAGTTTCAGCGCTGCGACGGCGCTGCTTTGTAAATCCATATAAATAACAAACCCACGATTGCAGTGCTACACCCGCATTGCGGCCGCACATCAGTTCATCACTACCATCACTTACGATTCTCAAACTTAGCAATTTGCGGCAAATTTAAAACCGCCCTGAGATTAACTAGGTCATATCCATTACTATTTTCATATAACTCAATCCTTATCTATCGTTTGCAAAAGCTTCTTGGGTAAGAACGAGAAAGATGTTTTAAAAGTGTAGCTGTAGATTAACGAATGTTCAAGTGAGACATCGGTACTCTTGAAACGTTTCATATTTAAATATTTTTGGCTCAAAGTACGGTGCTTAAAGCGAAGCAGAACCAGCGGCTTCTACAAACAAAATTAAAACGAAGAGATGTTCAGCCATTCGATTGTTTGTATTACCATCTATAGAGAAACAAAGTCCATTGAGCATTTTTCACATCATTCAGAGACGACGAACTTCGTCTGATCGTCGTTTATATTTTTGTATTAGACTCTAAATATTTACCCAGATATGGCGGTATGGCTCTCTTTAACAATCGCTTTAACAATATTAAAAGCAGGGATGTTATGGATATCAGGTTTGATAGTCGATATCGATGTACCTCTTTAAAAAGTTTTTATTTTATTGCGAATAACTGAAAGTTTAGTTTACCTGTATTTACGAAGCACTTTTCTATAATATCTCTGTCAAAACAAAGCAAAAATTTAATGAGTGTTGAACGCAGAACTTCATAGCAAAAAAAGTACTCTTATTATGAGTAAGTACTTATTTTCGAGTCAATCTTATCTTTGTAATACTTTTTTGTCACAATGTAGGTAGTACCGACCTAATTTGTCCTAAGCTTTTAAACACACGAATATTTTTGGATACATGTATAATGTTTGTAGGTGTATCAAATTGTTTATTCCTTTTATCTTTCCAGTGATAGATATTTTCAGATTACCTTTTATAATTTCCGTTTTTACGATCTTTCTTAAAACTTAACCATATTGTATCCAACCACGTAATTTCAGATTGACATTTAAAGAAGATAAATAATGTATAGAAAAATAATTACTCGTGTTTTAACGAGTGATCTGTATAAAATATGTAATTAAATGAGTTATTGTTAAATCTATTTTTAATTAATGGTTTTACTATACATATCATTTATTATAATAGCGTAAACAAGAATTGTCATAATGTTTGTTTAATGTTGCAAAATAAAATATTGTACTACATTTGACTGCAATTTTATTTTATGCATGAATGTTCGAATATATGTCATCCAACAGAAAATTAGGTTTTTTTTATATTGTCCTCCTGGTGGTCTAAGATTTAGATATAGATAAATTATGTAATAGATTTTTTTTGCTAGATAAAAATGAATGATGAAAAGATGTAGATAAAAACCTGTAACTTGCAACTATGATACACATAGGTGTATGGTTTTATTTGTTTAACTGTTTTGTACATATTTGATTTTTTTTTATTAAGTTTTTGTTGCACCTGTATTATTTTTATAATTTGCAGTTGGTTACGCAACTCAATGAGTCCCCGAGGTGACCTCAGAGAAGTTAGCCCCCATGTTTTGAATTTTATTATTAACTCAATCACATACGAATAGTTCTGAAAACAAAGATTAAACTATTTTCTTTGATACTGTTACATGTTTTGTATACTAGCTCAATATAATATAATATCTCTCTGACTGACATGGAACCTCTTAAAGTGTCAACAATTGGGTAGTCTACCCTAAATTGTAAATGTTTTCTTGTCTGATAATTATTGATATTATTCAAAATGAATAAATAAAATTGGAACGATATAGCCCATAGTTAATCTGATAAAATCGACATTGTTCTAAATCATTGTTTATTTATTGTTTCAGGAGCGATTTTTTTAAAGTTTTTTTTTGCCTGATAGCTTCAAATTTTAGTTTTTTCAAATAAAATTTGGAACAATATGGGGGGCTATCGAAAAAAAGTTTTTTTTTGCCTACGGTCTTCAAATATTTGATTATTCAAATAAACCTCTGGAACAATGTTAGGAACACTAGAATAACTTGGAACAACCAACAAAATATTGAAGTTCCAAAAATGGGGAGCTAGTAAAAAAAAAAGGTTTTTATAGCTAGTAGCTTCAAATTTTTAAATTCTAATAAAACCTTGAAACAATGTGGAACAAACATAGAACAGTCTAGAACAACTGAATAATAATAAAATTCAAAAAATGAGGGGCTAACTTAACCTGTGTCTCGAGACCTATTATAATAAAAACACACTCCAAATGGCCATATATACATATAATCATCCAGCGAGTACTGAAGACTGGTAGAGACGGTCTAGTACCCGTTGGACCCTCCTATTTGGACCTTACCTACAAGTACCCATTCGACCTCCTATCAAGAACATGGTGCCCATTCTACCCTCAAAGACGCACTTACTGACACAAAGGGACCTATTGGAGCTCTTAACTATTTGGAAAATTCTTTTGGAACGGTTAAGTACAGTCGTGTAGTAAAGTAACATTGTAAAGGACATACACAGACGTACGCACCCCAAGATCTCCCTTCTGGAGAACCTCATAGTATCTACTACGCCATCTGTAGGAAATCGCTTATACTACCAATATTGCTAGGACTAGGGCAGCACTGCTCCCTGGCAATTTAATTCATATTATATGACTAGATGGCGTTACAAGTACAGTTTATGTAACGAAAATCTATTGCCATCGCTGTTGTTTGTCGAACCTCCATAAAAAAAATCCTCACGCAGTATTTTGTCTTGTTTGTCCCCTAATTAGTGTAATTTAGTTGCAGAGATACGTTTTTTTTTCGATGACGGGGAGAAAAAATGTATTATATCCACGACAATGACCAACGCCACGTTGGTTTGCTGTTAACAAACCCTCGCGACGCAGGTAATTGCGTGGTGCATTCGGCAAGCGGCGAGCCGCCCGAGGGCCGCTAGTCGGTACGGGTATACTTTGACGTGCACTCACGCAAGCGTGGCATACGTCAAACCACCCCGCCTCCGAACAGCAGCCCGGTCCGCACCAGCTTTAGCTGATCCTGGGCTTCTCCGTTCACAGCGTCCCCTGGCTAGTCTCACGGATCGCAGTCCGAGCGGCTAGCCAGCCGACCAGCTCCCGTACCTACCAGGTAAACCAACTCCCCGATCTACCCCTCACCCTCCAGGCGTAACTGCGGGGTCCAGTTATGAGTCACCGCTTGAGTTGCAAAGATACCTGATGAGTCAGAAAACAGCCAAGGCTCACCCGAGTCCGAGCAAGGTACGACCATCCAGGACGGAGTATGCATGCCCAAACATGGAAGATTTCCTTCAAGTGTTATTACTATGTTTACTTCACACTGTAATTATTTTTATAGCTAACTATTCCTTATTTTTGCATTGTTTATATTTTTGCCTATTTCACGCAAATCAATAGTACATTATGAGTTCATTCCCTGACATCACCGAGTACTTATTACAGACGGTTTTAGTTGCGCAAACCACCCTTAAATCTCGTGGGGTCTGCCGCTCTCTATACACTACTAACTCGCGGGGAAATGCCCCCTGCCTAGAAAAACACTAGATATTCATCATACCCTGGTTTAAGGTATGTTTGAATTTGAAGTTTGATGGTGATTCTGTATAGAAATCGTAAGAAAATCGTTTTCCGAATATCCAAGGCCACTTGCACCAAGGACACATGTTAATAATATTATTCTACAAGTTGACAACGGACTTTTATAAGCAGGATTAAGTTTTAATGTGGTTTAAAGAATGTCGGGTCATGTGGCCCATAATAAATTAAGCGTAATTAAGTCAATTTGTTTCGAAAAAATAAATTACCTGTCTATTTTATCTTCCCAGAAGGCCCTATTACTGAGGTGCGCTTGCCTAAGTAAGCACCTACACATATCTAGTTCTTTCACTTCCGAGAACCCTCGCTCATTAGCTGACAGGGGACTAAGCCTTTATCAGCATTAGGAAACACCACCGTTATACGTTAAACGATGTGAAATTGAAGTCAATGACTGCTCTTATCCTATATTTAAGCAATCTTAATAAACGGAGTTGATCTCATTACTCTCTTAGTCCGCGTTGTTTATAACAAAGTTAAATTTGACTTTAATTAATGTCGCATCCCATAAATACATAATAAATGTGTCAAAATTTGACAAAAGTTTGTTTCAAACAATGCGACCTTAGTTATATGACTTAAATAAATTCAAAAGAGCTCGAGAGCGCAGGTGAAAAGTCCAACTGGTCTACTTTTGTGAAAAGTCTATAATTGGACGGGTGACCGAAAATTAAGGCGTTTGAGTTGAGCAAGTTATTCATGTGTGGTGCCCGCCCGACTGCATTATACATGGCCCTATGGAATGTATTTTTATTATAATAGGTATGTAAAGATTTTCGCTTTCGCCGCCATCGTAACTGTAGTTTACAACCAGGTATCTAAGAGGATTCTTTAGTGAAAAACGTTAAAAAATATTTTTTTATAGCACAGCAAATTGTCATAACCCACCTGATGTGTAAGTAAGAAGAGGAAAAATTGTGATGTTCTGATATCGCAAGCTTAGAACATACATATAATAAACTTGTACAGATATGCTCTTAGATCGCAAGTAGGGTTACCATCCGTCCGGATTTGTATTTTATCCGGACGTTGAGCGGCTTTTTAAATTGTCCGCTTTTTTTAATAAGATGGAATATGAGTAAAACTGCTTGTTAAGTTATCTTCTATACTTATAATAAATCTGTAGAGAGGTCAATTCTGTACATGAAATATATTTTCAAAATAATTATCAGGGGGTGATTAATGATCGATACTGATGCCAAAAATGCAATCAGTAAAATTTTTGTCTGTCTGTCTGTCTGTGTGTATGTTCCTTATAGAAACAAAAACTACTCGACGGATTTTAACGAAATTTGGTACAATTATTCTTCATACTCCTGGGCAGGTTATAGTATAGTTTTCATCACGCTACAATCAATAGGAGCAGAGTAGTGAAGGGAAATGTTGGGAAAACGGGAGAAGTTACTCCATTTTTAAGCTTCCGTCGCGTGTGCAGCCTTAATGGTTAAAGTTACATAGAAATTATGTATGACGGAAATATTCTACATAAAATTGTCTAAAAAATATTCCGCAACAGCATATGTCTATCTTTTATGGTTGACTCACAATAACACGTGTAACTCCTGATAGCTTAGCAGTTCGGAGCATTCTGATTATATTTGTTTACTCTTACGTTTATAATACTCTCACTCATCCCTAATTTAAAAAGTTATCATTATTACCTATTCAATAAAAAGAGAATCATAGAAATCGGTATAGAAACACCAAACTTATACATGAAGTAAGCCATCGCGCCGTCGCACGTGAATACTGAATCATGCTATAAGGATTATTTTTGTGTAACGGTTGCCGCGCTCGACACGGGTCGCGGCGGCGGTAGGGTATAAAAAGGCGGGAGGTCCGAAAGCGAGCTTCCCCGCCCCCCCGATCCTGAGAGACCTTCAGTCGCTTTGTCCTAAACCGATACGGATGCACATCAGAGTGCATCCGTCCTCTAAGCGCACTATGCAGTAGTATTTACTAAGGCAGCGCTGCATCATCCCCTTCTCAGGGGTTGATCGCATCAGATAAAGCCTGTATGGCTCCTAAGGCCATAGGCATCCCCCACGGGTGTGTTTTAGTCAGTAAGAGTCTGACATAACCCTACAGCCGGCTGTAGGGTATCCATGAGGATTTCACACCCGCTCGCCTGGGAGGAAACAAAAAAAAAAAAAAAAGCGAGCTTCATTCAATATTTGGCTGTTGATGCGTTCAGAGCGTTCGACCTTATTGACAGACAATAATTGATATTAAGAAACCGTGCTTATCTTAGAATAAAAACCAAACATTTGTAAACAAAATTATCAAATAAATCATGTAAAACGTGTAGTAAATGAGTACTGGAAAACAGAAATATGAGAATTTTAGTTTGATTATAAATACAGGTAATAAAAATGACCGTTTTTATCTAAACTGTAGTCTACACTTCAGCTCTACACCGAAGCGAAGCGAGGGCGGACCGCTAGTATCAAATAAGTCAAATAATCTTTATTAAGTTCTCATTAATTTAAAACAAAATATGTATAATAATAATCTTAACAAATCAACAACGAGACCCCCCTCGAGATGCGAGTGTCTGCTACCACGCGTATAATATCACTGTA